TTTCTCTTTAATGGCACATTCTCCCATCAGAGGGAGATAGACCACGTGCTTCCATATTTAGGCCCCGATGACGCTGCATCAGTTAGGGAAAGTCCTGGTGATGAGGGAAATCGGTCACGATCTAATCTACTTTACCGTTGCCATCAGTACGACCCCCTTCAATCCAGTGAGTCCCAAAAACCCATCTCATCATCTCTCCTATCCCTCTTACACCCCGTTTCCAGAAAAACTCTCCTCTTGGAAGGGAAAGACAGAGCCAACTCATGACAAGATTAACGTGCCATACCTGCACAAGTCATTATTCATATCCGTGGGGAACACGATTGGAGGCGGTGCTTCAGCTTTCCGTTTCAGAGCTTTTTTCGAGTCCTTGTTCTGTACGGGATGATGCGAATGGTTCTGATGTGGATGATGATGGTGATGGTCCGACGGATCTGCCGAATCATCTGCTTCAACATAATCGTCGCTTTCTCCGTGGGCGATGACTCGACGTTCAAACAGCTGAAAATACATATTTAATCATAGAATATGGATTTGAATGTAGAATAATTATGTGAAATTCGATAAGATCTCGCTCAGGGGAGCGAGACCGAGTATAAGATGGTCAGAGGAAACTCGAGCGCAAAATAAGCCAACCCATTTCAGCTTCAAAGTGATCAAAAACTTTTGCTGGGACCAATGAGATTGATTCCAGTAGGCACGATAGCTCGGGGTGTCGCCAACGTCATTGGTGGAAGGGCTGGGTGTGGTGTGGCAAAACGCCCTCTCGCAGCCCTTTCTACCAATGATGCGCTCAGCAACCGCCCACCCCTGGCAATCTGCTCATTGTCAGCGAATGTAAGAAGCGAATGTGATGCTACACTTCCTGTGCCGGAAAACTACCTTATCCGATAAATATGAAAAGATTGCTCACCTTAGGATCACATCCACGGCACATGAAATCGTAATCGTATGAGACATCACCAACACATTCAGCGTGGAAGAAATGGTAGCATTTCCTAAAGTTGAAAGTAAATGCCTAGAAAAAAATAAAAGCCAGGTAAAAAGAAGCAAGAGCGCGTTCGGTAGGGACCGCTTGCTCCCCGAGAACTGCAAGGCGAGTGTGGAAGCGAGCTGGACCAGTAAAAGCGTTGAAAGTCAATGTAAGGAAAAAGGAGTGACGCAGGCAGCGCCGGAGAAGTAATGACGTGAGATCAAGGAAGTGTTTTACTTGAAGCTGACCAGGCGCGCGAATACCTGGCAGATTCGTTTGGGATATCGGAATCACCCTTGTCCCTTCCTCACCCCTCACTGCTCACTCCACTGACGTCTTTTGTACTTACTAACCTACAATTAAGAGACGGACTAGAGGACTCACTCCCGATGACGACGCTAAGCTAGTTGGAGGCCAAAAGCGGCAACCTCTCTTTCAGCCACGCCCTTCTGTTTCAGGCTTAGGTTTAGAAGCAGACTGTTTTCCTACTCGAGAGCGATGAGTTAGCAACTATCACAGTCTGGCGCTCAAACTCCTGTCTTGACTAGGGAAGGGACACAAGATGAGCGGCCCTATTCTCCTATTCACCACTACCGTTCGCGCCGCACTTTTTTAGGCTGAGCAAACCTCAGCCTTATTACCCCTATCTAATTGAACGTAAGGAGAGCCCAATGACTGATTCATGTCGTGGTTTCTTTCCTGTTTTTTCTTTCTTTCGCGCTATTTTCCTAATGCGTGCGTTTGAAGGAGGGCAGTCGCGAGCTAGAACCACGTCCTAATCGGTATGAGACATACCTAACACATTCTATGCGTGGAAGAAATTTGCGTTTTGTTGAGCGATGGTGTGTTCCGGGGCTGGTACGAGATTCCTAAGTAAAAGTAAAGGCTAGAAAAAAAATAAACACCAGTAAAAAAGACAGAGAAAGCAGTCTCGGGTAGGGACGCATTGTTCTCTTCCCCTACCCTCCTCCATCATCATTTATCGACTGAAAGCGTGTTGATGTTGAGCGAGCCTTGACCAGAAAGCGTTGAAGTCAATGTAGGAAAAAGGACGTCACGCAGGCAGCGCCGGAGGAAGTATGACGTGAGATTCAAAAGTGTTTCAAACTTGGGAAGCTGAACCAGGCGCGCGGAATACGGTGGCAGCGATTCCTTGGACTACGGAATCATCCTTGTCCCCTCCTCACCCCTCACTGCTCACTCCACTGACGTCATTTGTACTTACTAACATACAATTGAGAGACGAACTAGAGGACTCACTCCATGACTGGCGCTAACCTAGTTGGAGCAAAGGCGGACCTCTCTTCAGCGCCTCTCTGTTCAGGCTTAGGTTAGAGCAGACTGTCTTTTCTACTACGAGACGATGAGTTAGCAACTATCACAGTCTGCGCTCAAAGCCCTAGCCTTGACTAGGGAAGGGACAAAGATGAGCGGCCTATTCTCCTATTCACCACTACCTTAGCGCCCAACTTTTTTTAGGCTAAGCAAAACCTCAGCCTTATTACCCACCTATCTAATTGAATCGCTGATGAGGAGCCCATGACTGATCATGTCGTGTTTTCTGTTTCTGGTTTTTCTTTTTCCCTATTTTCTAATGCGTGGTTGGAAGGGAGGGCAGTCGCGGAGCAGAACCACGCCTTTCTTATGAGTTTGCTCGAGCCGATGAGGGCACAGTCAGAAAGGGAATGACCGCCTCGTGATCCTCCTTGTCTCCTCTCCCACTCCCATTTACTCCAACGTCGTCTACTCTATACGACTCCTTTGGAAGAATAACCATTACACATTTAGCCACCACTCTCACCACTCGCGCTCATAAATACAGTGTAATCAGGTCCTTGCGAAAGAACTATATAAAAAACTAAAACGGCGCTGTTTGTCGACGGGGGGGGGCATTTTGTATTATCATTGCTTCCCTAGTTCCGGTTTACAAATCTCACTCTGGTAAAACTTGTGAACTCTTGTGAAGCTGAACTAAGATCGTCTAGCCACTATCCTAAAACGTGTCAACTCGCTGCCTAGATGGGTCGACACATCTATGGAAAGCAAAATGCCCCCCCCGTCGACAAACTGCGCCAAACTAAACTGATCGAAAAAAAATCGTGGTTCATTTAAAGCACTAACCGACAGGACGTCAAATAGTCATGTTGCTGAGAACAAACGAGGCATGTTGGCACTTGTGTCGACGTCTCAACACACGCTGGACAGAACCATTCGCGTGACGGAGGTGACTGTAAATATATCAAATAGTTTTGTAAGTGGTGTAGTTGCAGAATTGGTGATATTGATGGACTGGTTTACGCGTTCGTCCCCTTTCTTTTCCTTCTACCTTATAAGAAGTTTGGATGAAGCTGAGACATGGTCTAGCGCGGCTGAAAGTAAAACTAGAAGTGCAGGTCGCCGAACAGCGACGAGCAGTATAAGCGGCAGACAGCAGCCTTTGAACAACCCCCTGACTTAACGTCTGGTATGGAGTGTGCTCTCTGTGTTTTGCGGAGAATATCTGAAGCAGTCGCTACTTGCAGTTCAAATAAATGAAGTGCCCTACTGTTAGGTTCGCAGGTCTTCGTGCTAGAAATTCAGCGCTCTCTTTCTCCCTCTTGGGCTTTATTTCGTACACCAATCGATAAACCATTACCTTGCAACAACTTTGATGGTAAACCAGACGACAGGCTGTACATCGCAGCGCTGACGGCTGATCGCACCGCTTTCGACAGATCTGACAGAGCCGCAGCGTGGGAGCCAGTTCCCATGCTATTGAAGAGCTGAGCATCTGGAACAAATGCAAAACATAGCAATCGATCAACTAGTTGTGCAGAATTCAATGAGATCTATTAGCTGAGCAGCTCTATGCTACCGGATGGGCCTTGAGAGACACATTCCTTGGCGGAACAGGCTATACAACTGTATCCCAGCTGCACCGCGAGACTGGTAAAAGAGATGGTCAACAGGGCACATGCTTGACCCTGTTCGCGCGACCAACGTGTAACCTGTATTTAGGAATAGGTGATAGCTGTGATACACTATGTAAAGTTTAGATAAGAGGTGAATGACGGCTTTTATAGGGACCAGCCCCTCCCACCACGTTACATCCTCCGATATTTTAATTCTGTTCATAGTACCACAGCTGCTCAGAAACTTCCTTACGGTACCACCCCGTTTGGAAGTCAACATCAGCAAAATTTCATGGACGTCCCGCGTAGCCACGTTTGGGTCCTGCAGATTTTTCATAAGCAAATAGCTGCTAGTACAGTACCTGTATGGCAAGCGACAGCTTGGCTGGTGTCTCTGCCGATTCCACGTACGCTCGCCAACGTTCGATCATCTGGCTGTTTTCCAGTTCATCTCGCTCCGAATCTTCTTCATCTTTTTCCGCGTCATCCCGGTCATCTTCGTCATCCTCTTTTTTTAGATTTTCGCCACTCATTTCCATTGTGTAGGCTAGACATTTCTTCTCCCTAAATGGTTACCTATACAGAAAACTTCGCACATCGAATACTTTTATTCTCTAGATGAGCCATGCGCACGGTTTTCTTCGAGGTTTGTAAGATATGTGAAAAGGGTGCAAGGTCAATGACCTACGAGTCTTCAAGACACATGCACATGACGTTTCCTCTCTGTCGCCGTAGGGCAGCGTTCAGAGTTCGCGATAACGTCGCGCTACTGCTGCAACAGCGCTCCGGTGCTATACACGAAAGCGCAGCAGTAGACGGCTATGGATCAGCGCAACCCGCCAGCGTTTTGAGGAGAGTGTTGAGAAATAGCTCGGGCGGAAGACGACCAAGGGTTTTCACGAAGGACCGCAAGCGTACTGAGCGGGCTACTTGCCACTACACCATGTACGCCTCCCTTCCCTTTTTATCTGTGAAAACATCGCTTACCCAACGAAAAAGCTTGGCCGTAGGAAGTCGCGGTTAATTCGCCGCTCACAGCAGAAGATCTTCTCTTTCAACTCCTCAATGGAACCGCTACAGCCGGACTTCATGAAACTGTTGGCAGAACCTGGAAATTTCCCGCTTTTTTTCTTATTCAGTTCAGAAGACAGAGGAAATTCGATAGATTTTAGTAAAGCTCCTACCTTTAATGGCAATTTTAGCGCTCGAGATCTTCGAATTCAACTCGTTCAGTTGACGATGGACTGCCTCTTGACTTATTTCGGTCACTTCCTTCCAGCTGATCTCCTTGCCCATCTTATCCAATTCAACTGAAACATTCGATCACAGCAGAACATAACACATGAGAAATATGGAGGATGAGATGAAGATGAGACAAAAAATTCTACTGGAAATGCTTAGGAATGCAAAACAAGTCGCCAGAATCTCGGCGGAGGGGAGGGAGTAGGGAGGAGGTGCGGGGTGAGGCTGAAAGAGAAGGAGAGGGGCCCAAAGGACTGTACATTCAAAACTAGGATAGAAGCAAAGTGATTTTACCCGAACCCGAAGGGGGAAGGAGCTCCGAGGAGGGCGGAGCATTTTCAAGTGCGGTGTTCCACTCGGATCAAGTTGGTTCCAGTTTTATGAAGGCAGTCCTTCAAATGCCCTCGAAAAATTTGCAAGGGCCAAATCGCCTTTTCTATGATCCTATCAGAAAATGTGTAGGAAAACCAAAAAAGCCCTTATTTTTCAGTTGCTCCTCGAAGGTCACTCCACGTTGACTTTGTGGGCGGAGTCGCATGAACAAGCTGCCGTTCTCACTGACAGGTCCGTCCGCTGACGATGTTGAATTGGAGCAGCTATAAATGATGACAGCGCAATGGCTGAAGGTGCTCCTGACAGAACAGCCAAGGAAGGGGATTTTGGAGTGCAGTCCAGTTTGGGAGGATACTAAGTTAATCTCAGGCCGAAGGCATGATACAGTCATCTTTGAAGACCAGAAATCCCTGCCTGCTTAGAGTGGAATGCCAGAGTGTAAACACGTCGCACTTCACAACAGTTTACAGGTCTCACTTTTGGGCTGAAACTTCGTTAATATTAGGTTGTTCGAAAAGTCCTGCGACACTTTGACCAATTTTTCGGACTAAATTTTCAGTCACTAAAAGACATCTCCAATCCACAAGGTAATCACCACTAAGGACTAGGACTAGTGCCCTTCTTTGCACAGCTTCTCATTTTCAAAAATTCTTATAGAACTACGGCAACTATGATAAGAAGAAGAGGTGGACCTCATTTTTGAGTAGACGTCGATTTTCGGAATTTTCGCCTTCTTAAGGATGCGGTAGGGATCAAAAAAGGTAGTAGTTAGAGACTGCTAACTTTGATGAATAAGCTGGGTATGGTCGCATTCTCGGATCAAGATCCACGATCTTTTGGTGTGGCCTGATCCTAACATGCGGTCTTCGCATTGTCGAGCGGTAGAGAAAAATTGAGTATTTTTGAAGAATTTAAGCGTGACGTCATCCATGTTGTGAGGTTGGTTAGAGTGGACTGTAGTCCTTACCGTTATGCTACTATTCAGAGATACCGCTTTGAAGTCCCACCAATAACCTACTGAAATCTTTATCCCATGCACATCTGCTTTTGGCTGTGCAATCTACTTTTCTGTTTGAGAAGCCTGCAAGAGGAACATGTGCAAGATGTACGCAAGGACCCCACCTCTCTCTACCAACCACAAGATCTCACAAATGTTCCTCCAGTGTGTACAAGGAAAAAAACTCAGTCACGGTCATTCGGTATGACTTGTCAGAGGGGACCAACTCATGAGGCATCCTTCATAAAAAATTTTTCCGATAACCGAGACTGCGGAGAAGCATGGCAGTTGTCGGTTAGATGGAGCCTAGAGAGGTTGCCAACACATGCGTGCGTGGTACGTTCGGCTGCGCCTCAAGAAGCTTGAGTAAAGGGCCGTCATTCTGTGCTGGTGGCCGACCTATACATTGCCTACTTCCGAGTTGAATAAGTCCAGCCTGGAAGCGCTGATGCAAAAGGAACTCTCTGCTATGGCAAGCGATATCCTTCCTCAAGACAACGTAAGTGTTAGCTTCCTCGACTATGGCGGAGTTGCCCTACAGGAACTCATAATATGGGATAGGTCGAGAAGTACCTCGATCTCTGAGGTATTTTTAAGCTTTGAAAACTTCCACGGAGCCATGATATACCCATTTTCAGAAACCTCAGGAGACAGTCTCCACTAATCAGAGATAAAAACATTCGAAAATGATTTTTGGTCTTTTTCTAGAATAGTTCAAACAAAGTGTCGCAGGACTTTTCGACCAACCCTATACATGAATCACACTATAGAAAAGCGAGCACACTTCCCCCCTGTCCCGCCTCTGCCAACCAAGCAGCGCCACAAGCATCAGGCCGATAGTGAAAATGCAGTTCATGTCCTATATAATAAGAGCCCTCAGGACCAATCATGGTCGCCAGGAATAGCTTCACATGTTGTTGAAAAACCTCAAGCGCTCACCTCTGCCCAGTTTCACATCCTTCAGGAACCACGGTTTACACAGCAGACGATGCAAGATCCGCTCACGAATACCTCGGCCATGGAGGCTGCCCCGAACAGCTTCGAGATTTTCTCTGAAATGTTGAATAGTGTCAAAAATTCATATTAAAATGTGGCACGCATCAGAGAGGCATACCCTCTACCCCTCTACCTCAGTAAGAGGTGGAGAAAATGAGCTTTTTGTCGCTTGAAACCCCCAACCCTTCACTGAAGCCCTCATAGGAACATTCATCGGGGACAGAAAATTTCTTCCTATTGCGGGAACCATTTATTTCGTCGTATTCTGGCGAAACGAAGTAAGGAGGCGTGGAATTCGCCCGCCCACGCGAGCGTTTCCACCAATGATAGCGGCTTCAAAAGGCAACTCCAGTGGTGAAAACGCCGTGAGTGGCTCACCTCCACATCTGGAAATCCGCTCGGAGCGGACTGCCGACGATACCTACTTGTATATCCATATCTGAGGGCAAAAAAGAACCTGCCCTCAGATATAGATGATGTACAGTGAATGCCCTTCACTACTGCGTTTCCCTGCGGAAATTCCCTCTATTCCAGCCTCTGCAACTTCTTTTGTCTGACACCTCGCCACTCTAGAAACGACAGCTTGTTGTCTTCAGTAGGGGAGCTTTCTACTGACAAACTATGCAGGCAGAATATGTTGTTGATGGAAAGTGATAGAAATTACTCCCTTACCTTGTGTCCACTGCCCACCATCCACGCTTGTACGAATTGTCCATTCGCCGGAATCGCTTTCGCTTCCGTCGTTCTGCATGTGGGCGACCAGTCACCACATCGTCAACGAGGTCTTCGACACATGCGAACACATCCGGATGAAGGAATGACGGTGCTGAAACATGGGTGAGTGAAGAAAAGCTTAGAAACTACAGAACACCAAAAACCCGACTTTAGACATTTGTTGCTACTAGGTTTCCGTGGGGTATGTGGCAGAGATCGTAAGTCAGCGCCGCTGGTAGCGTTGCTTCGCGAATGTCGCGCGCTGTACGACGATTTGGGGGGTGTGAGTTGAGATAGACAATTTTATGACCCAAAACAGACATAAGTGTCTACCAGTGTCCTTGTCACATTGAAATCGATGCTCCATCAAAAAAGTAGTGCGCAGATTTAAGGAAACGTCATGCCCATTATCGCGTGCGACGAAGCGGCAATCTACAATTCTCTTGCCCGTCTCCCGCTCTCCGTGCTAGCAATGCCTTGCCAATCACGAAAAAATTCGGAACCAGAAAAGCAACGGTAACTAGCTTGGAAGGGAATCGTCCAGAGTGAAAATTAGGCGTGGTTTAGCTTCGCGGGGCACCGAATAGTACTCAGCTTAGCTTGAACAGGACACTCTGTGGAAGACCTGCGCATCCCTGTAACCCGAGTAGCTCATTCCCACCATTCCGCAGCTCTACTCGACTTCACTGGTCGTCAGCGTAAGACCTGCTATTCTGAATTGAAGGGGGAGGGGAGCGGGGGGGGGCATTTGCACTTTCACTACCTCTACTAGTTTCGGTTTGCATATCTCACTCTGATAAATCCTTTGAACTCCTGTAAATGTGAAGCAAGCTTGTCGAGCCAGACCTGTCGACTCTTGTAAGCTCCCGAAATAGCTCTTTAGATGGCTCGGTGGGAAGTAGCAAAACTGCAAATTGCCCCCCCCCCCCCCGTCGTTCAACTGCACCTCATTTATTACTATTCTCAAGAAAATTGCCGAAATCGATGCTCTGTCAGGGAGCAGACCCCTTCGGCTTTTTGGGGTCTTACGATGGTGAAAAGGCCGAAACTTTCACCATAAATTCACTGTAACACCTTGTTGGGTCGTAGAAAGAAAAATACGTTCACAATCTAAAAGGTCTCTTATGTGCTATGCATCAACGTAAATTCTCTGACTGATAATACTCAAGTGACTGCATCGTCCACCTTCAAACGATACCCTCTTCCATAAGCATGGCTCAAACTAGTAGAAACAGAGGACCCAAACTAGTAAGAAACAGAGGACCTTAGGAGCACTAAGGGGGGGGGGGAAGAGGATTCCAATTGACTAGCAGAGGAAAGAAAGTCGAAAATGCATGACAAGTAAGCAGCTACCTGTCAACTCTGGTGGATCCTTTGAGCACGTCTCCTCTACATTGCATGCAGGATTCCATAGACCAGAACTCTCTACGGATTCGACCAATATCGATGGTATACCGGGTATTTGCCAGTACTGCCTGCAACACTTGACCTCATTCAGTACGAACGAGTCATTCCCAAAAACATGGCCGTTGAATCTAAGAATCAATCAATAACCTGTGATATCGATCGCATCCCAGCGGGAAACTGCGAACTTTTGTTGACAACTCGTTGATCTTCTCTTTGAGGTGTTCCGCTTCCGAATTCAACGAGTCGATAAGGATTTCGAGCTGATCCGGCGCCATGTTTCTTCCTGAATTGGAGCCAATTTTCTGAACAACTGTATTTTGAAAAATAATATGGTCCTGGGTGCCTTTTTGCACTCGGGTTACCCGTGAACAGGGCACACCATAATTTGGGGATTTTGGTCGAGTCCGTACGACCCTCCCTCCCTCCCAACAGCAAAGCCAGATACGACAGCCCCCCCCCTTTACAACGTCTCTGAAACAAGAAAAATCAACTGTAAACAATTTTCCTCAGCCCAAATACCCCCCCCCTCTCCCAGCGACCAATTACGATCCCCGGAATCCCCAACAACGATGTGCACTGCCCGTGAACTCTTTTCCGCCCGAAACAACAGGGCCTTTCACCCCAGAGATCTGCTGTGTTTCCTACGACTATCGTTGCAATCTGTTTTATCACTGGTAAGAAACCGGTGGCGTTACTCATAAAAAGAGGCTGAAACCGGAATCCACAGAGATCTCCATAAAATATTCCAAATTAAGTTTTGAGTGTTAATTACAGCAGCAATTCTAGAGGTGACTTTACGACAGAAACAGAGGAGCGTTGAAGCACTCGACATTTATCAGTGTACATGTGGGGTGCTATGCATCCTATTCACGCCCAAATCACAGCCGCTTTGCAAGCCACATGGCCTGACAATTACTTAGAAGGCAGAAAAAGAGCAGTTTTGCAATCTCCCGGACTAAATGTTCAACGATCACCGACACCAACAAGGAGTAAGATTTGCTTGGGCCAAAACCAACTCAACCCGGCACTCTGTCTTCGCACCATGCGTAGTATCGTTGATATCGTCGCCCTCAGTCGGGGCGGTGTCAGGAAACATGAAAGGAAGCCTACTAGCGGCCACTTTTTCCGATAATGGTGTTCGACTCAATGAAGAACAACTAATGGTAGGAGATGCCGCGGGGGAGGTCGTTCCGCCACGGAGCTTCCAGGCTGAGATGATATCAACTGCGAGTGGGGCCACTGCCGTAACTGCGCTTACTCGGTTCTGCACGTCTCTGGAAACTTACAGCTAAGAATGAAACAATAGTAATAATAGGTAAGCACTGTTGTGTTGAGCCTGCCATTCAGGATCTAAGTTGCAGTCGGATACACACAAACATCAGCGTCGCAACCGCGCGCGCCTGAGACGTGCTGAGCTCGAACGCGGCCAGCCTTGGGCAGTTATGCACCCAACAACTGATGACTGTTTGTAATAAAGAGCAGTAAAGGATTACACCAATACATTTTGAATAAGGAGTGTCAAAAATAGAAGGGAGCAGACCAGTAAAGTAGTCGATATATACGAAAGACAAAGTCAAGTTTGAGAAACTAACCTCTTCAGTGAGAATTTCACACTGGCCAAGTCCCGGCGTCAATCGTCGATCTCTGG